CCCTCCACCTGCTAAAGTTTAAACCCCTGACAAAATCTGAACAGATCAGAATGAAAGAACACCTCCCCTTAGTCTCCACTCAACACTTTGTCTCAGAGAAATCACTCTATTCTCCCGGGGGGCAGCAAAAATGCTGAGGGCTTATGATATCCAAGAATACCAAGACAGACATGGAGGGAGCTTAAAAAGAAAACTGCAGAACACTTGAACACAAAAGGAGGTCTGTGTCACTTACAGGGGACAGCGTATGGGAAATTGCTTTGATTTTGCTTACGGGTGTCTCCTCTATCTCTACACTGTCTTTTTCTCCATGAACAGGTCCACATGCCAAGGATCAGCAAATGTCCAACAGCAGCTCCATCAGGCACTTCCTCCTGCTGGCATTGGCAGACACGCGGCAGCTGCAGCTCCTGCACTTCTGCCTCTTGCTGGGCATCTCCCTGGCTGCCCTCCTGGGCAACGGCCTCATCATCAGCACCGTAGCCTGCGGCCACCACCTGCACACGCCCATGTTCTTCTTCCTGCTCAACCTGGCCCTCACTGACCTGGGCTCCATCTGCACCACTGTCCCCAAAGCCATGCACAATTCCCTCTGGGACACCAGGGACATCTCCTACACAGGATGTGCTGCTCAGCTCTTTTTCTTTCTCTTCTTTATCATAGCAGAGTTTTCTCTCCTGACCATCATGTGCTACGACCGCTACATGTCCATCTGCAAACCCCTGCACTACGGGACCCTCCTGGGCAGCAGAGCTTGTGCCCACATGGCAGCAGCTGCCTGGGCCAGTGCCTTTCTAACTGCTCTCATGCACACGGCCAATACATTTTCCCTGCCCCTGTGCCATGGCAATGCCCTGGGCCAGTTCTTCTGTGAAATCCCCCAGATCCTCAAGCTCTCCTGCTCCAAACCCTACATCAGGGAACTTGGAGTTTCTGTTTTCACTGCCTCCTTAGCTTTTGGTTGTTTTGTGTTCGTTGTTTTCTCCTATGTGCAGATCTTGAGGGCTGTGCTGAGGATCCCCTCTGAGCAGGGACGGCACAAAGCCTTTTCCACCTGTCTCCCTCACCTGGTTGTGGTCTCCCTGTTTATCAGCACTGGTATATTTTCCTATCTAAAGCCCCCCTCCATGTCCTCTCCATCCCTGGATCTGACCCTGTCAGTTCTGTACTCGGTAGTGACTCCAGCCCTGAACCCCCTCATCTACAGCCTGAGGAACCAGGAGCTCAAGGCTGCCGTGTGGAGACTGATGGCTGGATGCATTCAGAAAGACTAAATTAGATGACAGTTTTTGCAAATCACTTGTAATAAAAGTCATCTTAGATAGCTCTTGTTGGTTTTCTTGCTGGTGGTTTTTTTTCCCTTGATTGTAGTTTTTCCATATTTTCCAAAAGAAAAGCCACAGTTCATTCCATTTCACATTTTGTGTATCTCAAGAGTTCCTGTGGCCACAGACTGTGTCAAGGAGGGGCTGCAGTCTTGGTGGCTGTAAAGGAACTAAAGGATCTCCCAGCAAAGTTTTCTGCAGAGATGCCCTTTTGTTGCCTTCTCTGGAGGTGCAGCACCAATGTCTGTGTGCAGAGCTGGGGGCAGATCAGGGCTGGCCCAGCAGCTGTGCCCAGCAGCAGCAGCACTTGGTGTTGCCAGTGCTGCTGCCGTGGCCCTGCCCCGCTGCCCTGGTGGCCCTGGTGTTGCTGTAGGGCCTGAGTGCTCTTGGGGCCGGGCACAGCCCTGGGGGTGGCACTGCCGGGGCTGCAGCACGGACAGGCCATGGGCACTGCTGGGGCGGCACTGACGCCTCAGGCCAGGGCCTGGGGGCCCCAGGCTCCTTGCCCAGGCTCTCTCAAGAACACGGCCAGGCCAATGCTCAGCACAGAAACCCCCGTGAGCAGCCTCAGGCTGGCCGTGGGCAGGCTGGGGGCAAACAGCATGGCTGGGGCTCTGCAAGGGCCCTGGGGCAGACGGGATAGAGCAGCAGAGCAGGGGCTGATCCATCCCCAGTGCGCTGCACAGCCCAGGGCAGCGTCCCAGAGCATGCTCATGCAGCTGCCAACAACATCCCCCCTCTGCAGCCCTGGCCTCTCCCTCAGCTCACACAGGTGCCCCATCCTTGCAGGCACAGACACGGCAGCACTGGCTCAGCAGCCCCTGTTTGCATTGCACAGAGCAGAGGGAGCACCCCCATGCTCTTGGTGTGGGGACATGAACGTGAGGGAGCACAAATGCCATCAGCCCCATGGGCCAGCAAGGGCTGGGGGACACCGGGGAAACCACTCAGTTTTTTCTTGGCCTCTGCAGTCAGGCAGAGAGTTTGTTCCCATCCGCTGAGAGTTCCCTGTCCCAGTGCAGACGCTGTTGCTCAGAGCCAGGGCTGCCTAGCAGCCACCCCCAAAATGCCTTCAGCATTTCCTTGACTTCACCTTTGCTTTTTTCACTCTTCCTGCTGCAAGTTTCTTCCTATTGCCCAGCCCTGTCCCCTCCCCTGCAAACAGCCCATCCCTGTTTGCCCTTTCCTCTCTGGCCCCACTCCCCATTGCAGTTCCTGACTTGGCCCCATGGGAACGTCCCTTGGGCAGCAGGATCATCCTACAAGTGCTGCAGGAATTGTCTGCAGGCTCCTGCAGTGCCTGGTGCTGCTCCCTTGCCAGAGGCACCCCAGGCCAGGGGGGAACATCTGGGCTGCTGTGTCTGCCTCTGGGGCTCCCTGTTCTGGGCAGTGAGGAGGAGCTGCAGAGGCTCTGCAGGACTGACAGGATGGGCTTTGGGGCTGGCAGGAGAAGCTGAGGGACCTGGGCTGCTGCAGCTTCTCAAGAGGGGGCCCAGGGCTCATCCTGCAACTGCTCCAAGGGTGGTTCCAGAGAATCCCAGAATCAGCAAGGCTGGAACAGGCCATGGAGATCATCAAGTCCAGCCTGTGCCCTGACACCGCCTTGTCTCCCCTGAGCCTCGTCTTCTCCAGGATAAACAACCTCAGCTTCCTCAGCAACTCCTTACAGCACTTGTGCTCCTGACCCCTCCCCAGCCTTGTTGCCCTTCTCTGGACACGCTCCAGCCCCTCCATGTTCTTCCTAAATTGGGGGCTCCAGAACTGCAAACAGCACTTGAGGTGCTGCCCAAGCATTGCTGAGCACAGGGGAACAATCCCTGCCCTGCTCCTGCTGGCCACACCATTCCTGAGCCAGGCCAGGAGCCATTGGCCTTCTTGGCCACCTGGGCACACTGCTGCCTCATGCCCAGCCTGCTGTCCATCAGTCCCTGCAGGTCCCTTTCTGCCTGGCTGCTGTCTGGCCCCTCTCGCACCTTGTGGAGGAAGGGAAGGGAAGGGAAGGGAAGGGAAGGGAAGGGAAGGGAAGGGAAGGGAAGGGAAGGGAAGGGTCCAGATCCAATCCTTCCTGAAATGTGGGGTTTGCTGGAACTGCCAGTGCCTTGACCTGAAAATTTCCCTATTCTGGCACAGCTCAAGTGCAGCAATTTGCTGGCACAGAAATCCAAAACCCGGCAACTTTCTGCTACTGGGTCTGGCACCTCCCACATCTTGTGTTTGCTGCCCCAGTACCCAGATTTGGAAATTTCCTGGTGCCCGCACAGCCCAAGTCCAGTGATTTGCTGGCACAGAAATCTAAAGTTTGGAAATTTCAAGGTTCTGACTCCAGCACCATCCAGATCTAGTGTTTGCTGAGACTGCCAGTGCACAGATTTGGAAATTTCCCGATGCCTTCACAGCCCAGGTCTAGCAATTTGGTTTTAGCTAGCTTAGGAAGAGAAGTTCCTCGGACTGTGACTTTCCTTTTTCTTGGAACTGTTTAAACCTGCTCTGGACTGAAAACCCAGACAAACACCTGCAGCTCACACCTGTGGCCCCCCGAGCTCTGGGACGCTGCATTCCAGCACCAGAGGGACTTAGAAGAGACCGAGTGAGCCAACTACAAGCCACAACAAGGACTTTCTGAATTTTCCATCTCTTCAGCACTGTCCAAGGTTTTATTTAATATTATTCATTTTTCATGCTTGTGAATACTTTACTTGTTTAATAAACTGAGGTTTTTTTCACTTTTCTCGAGGGAAGTCTTTTCCTGAACTAGTAGGGGTAGGGGCTGCTTGAACTTTCTTTCTAGATGTATTCCTTTTGGAGATTTCCTCCCAAAATTTGCCCTAAGCCAGCACAAACAGTCACAATGAAAACTTCACCAGTGGCATAATTTCCTGGTGGCAAATCTTGTGACAGAAGCTTGACCTTGTTCTCCATGAGAAATTCTTGGGAAGAGCAGACAGGACAAGATTCCTGGAAAACTGAAACAGCTTTCCAGAAGTGAAATGAAAATGGAAGAAACAATCCAAGATGTTTTCCTCTATTTATTTCTATGCTCCCCTTTTCCATGTTGCATCCCAGTAATTCCAGAGGTACCTCACCTCTAAGATCAGTGACTTAGGGATTTTTAGGCGTTCTAAAATACCATGAGCCACACACAGTTTTCCTTCTCCTGTTTTTACTGGAAAGCAACACTGGACATGTAAGTGTAGTGCTTGGGTCAGGTAGGAATCCTACCCCAAGGGAAGGTGGCCCGACAGTGTTTGACCCTCAGCAAGGACAATGCACAGCAGCAGGCGAGGGGATCGCTGTGCCAGTGCGCAGGAGTCAGGGCTCTGCATCTGGGCTCAGCGCTGGAAGGTTCCCGTGTTTGGGCAGACGGAGGGGCTGTCCCCGGGGCGCGCGGGGCTCGAACGTGGGGCTCGTGGGGCGAGCGGGGAACGGACACGGGGACGAACGGCCCCGGTGCCTCAGTTGCAGCGGCGGCAGCAGCGGCAGCAGCAGCAACAGCGTCGGCAGAAAAAAGACCACAGACCCTAAACACTGCTTCTCATTCTCATTCTCATTCTCATTCTCATTCTCATTCTCACTCTCATTCTCATTGTTCTCTCTCTCTCCCGCTGTCGGGCACCCTTCTCTCGGGGTCCCTTGCCCGGCGTCCCTCTCCTCTCCCCGCCTCCCTGTCCCCTGCCGGGCTGGGCCATGCCCCCGGCCCGCCCCCGGCCCCGGGCGGGGCTGCCCCGTGCCCGGCCCCGGCCGTCCCGCCGCGGTCTCGCCTCCGCCCGGCTCTGGCCGTACTGGCGGTGGCGCTGCTGGGCGGGCATCAGTGCCTGGTGCGGGGGCGGCATCGCCGCCCTTCGGCTCCGCCTGGCCCGAGCCCGGCCCCGGCCCCGAGGCAGGGTCCGGCCCCGGCCCCGAGGCAGGGTCCAGTCCCGACCCCGGCCCCGGCTCCTCCCGGGGCCCGCGGAGGACACAGGCGGCGCGGCCGCTCCCGCCGCTTCCGCTGCGGCTTCCCCGGCCCGAGCTCCGCCGCTCGGCAGCGCGGCCGCCAGCCCCGAGCCTCCCGTGCCGCGTTCCCGGGAGCGAACGCCTGGGCATGGCCGGCCCGGGGCGCTTGAGAGGCGCTCGGGGGCCGTTGCTGGCCCCGGGCCGAGCGCTGACCGCCGCGTCCCGCCCGCAGGGCAGACTCAGCAGGGCCTGCAGGAGCAGTACAGGCTGGGTTCGCTGCTGGGGCGCGGCGGCTTCGGCAGCGTCTTCGCGGCCACGCGGCTCTCGGACGGCGCCCCGGTGAGCGGCGGACGAGGGGAGGGGGCGGAGGAGGAGGAGGAGGAGGGCAGAGAATGGGGCTGGGCAGGGAAGGCGGTGAGCTGAGCCCTCTGCTCCCCTTGACTTGCAGGTGGCCATCAAAAGGGTGCCACGGAACCGCGTCCTGCACTGGGGCAAGCTGGTGAGTGAGCAGGGCCAGCGGCAGCAGCCGGACCGTGCCGGGCGGGACTGAGCCGAGGCCCGGCAGGGTGGGAGCCGCCAGGGCGCCCCGAGGGAGAGCGGGCGTGGGGCCAGCGCAGGGCGCAGAGCATCCCGGGCTGGCTGAGGGCTTCACGAGCCCCGGCACGGCATCGGCTCCACTGACGGCATTGTGCTCCTCCCGCAGCCCGATGGCACCAGCGCACCCCTGGAGATTGTGCTGCTGGCCAAGGTGTCCACTGGCTTCCCCGGTGTGGTCCAGCTGCTGGAGTGGCTTGAGCTCCCCAAGGACATCTTGATGGTGCTGGAGCGGCCAGAGCGGTGTCAGGACCTGCATCGTTTCATTCGGGCACGGCGGTTCCTGCCCGAGGAGGAGGCGCGGGAGCTGTTCCGCCAGGTGCTGGAGGCCGTGCGGCACTGCACCAGCTGCGGGGTCCTGCACCGTGACATCAAACCAGGGAACATCCTGGTTGATCTGGCCACCGGGCAGGCCAAATTGATTGACTTTGGCTGTGGCACCTACCTGCAGGACACAGCCTACACGCACTTTGCAGGTGAGCCCACGCAGGGCTCCTGGGCCCAGCATCTCATGACCCAACATCTCCCAGCCCAAGCTGACTGTGGCAGCAGGGATTCTCTCTTTTGCGGCCCTTCATGTCACTGAGTCTTCAGCGAGTTTCTTTTGAAACTCAGGGCTGAGTGGGTAGCCATCTTCCAGCCCTGCTGGCAGCCTTTGCCCCCCACTCTGCCCAGAACTGGTGCTGGGGCAGCCAGCCCAACAAAAATACCCGTGGGTGGGGGTAGCAGAGAGGGAGAACCAGAACCTGTGCCCAGCCGGTTTGGTGTGCAGGTGAGAAAGGGCTTGGACTGCTCCACTCACCTGGTCTGTTGGGGTTCATAATGGTTTTTGGGGCAATGCAGGCCGGGAGGATGAGAGCATGGTTTTTCCCAGCACTGGGTGGGTTCTTCCTTGTTATGGTCAGGCCTTGCCAGGGCTTCCACTGACCTCTTGAAACACCAGTGGCTTCTTTTCCAACCCCAAGTCTGTACACAAGTCCCAGGTGCTGGTGAGAGGGCAATGCTCACCCTGTGTGCCACTGGGGCAGCCCCCACATGCCTAGGGATGCTGGGGCCAGGCTCTGGGAACAGCCTCATCCCCCTGATGAACTCCATCTGTATTCCATAGGAACACGGTCATACAGCCCCCCGGAATGGACCCACTTTGGCTGGTACTATGGCAAGCCAGCTACCATCTGGTCCCTAGGCATCCTGCTGCACCAGATGGTCTGTGGGGAGCACCCTTTCAGGAGGTGCCAGAACATCAGCTGGGACCATCAGCTCTCGCTGCCAGAACGGCTCTCTCAAGGTGGATCCTCATCTCTGGGCACGGGGGGAATCCCAGTGCTGGGAGACAGCAGCAGGCTCGTGGGCATCCTGCACTGGCAGCTGCTGAGGAGGTGGCAAATGTCCTGCTCTCCTCCAAAACAGGGAATGGATGGGAAAGTTTAGGCCCAGCTTTGAGCACATCCAGCATGGCCTGTGCATGGGAATGGTGGGGCAAAGCCAATAGGAGCCTTCTCCAACTAAGTGGTGGTTTCTGGTTTCTCTGCCCAGAGTGCCAAGATCTGATCAGGCGGTGTTTATCCATGCTGGACTTGGAAAGGCCCTCATTAGAAGAGCTGTTCTGTCATCCTTGGATGCAGGATATTCATCTTCCCTAGAAGAAGGGAGAGAGCCACAGGCATACTTTGATCCAGGGCCCTGGTAAGTTCCAGCTCCACACGTGCCTTGGCAATGAGAAGCAAAGGAACCCAGAGCTTTTTGTGCTGCCAGTGTCACTGCACCGGGGTCATGGGATGGGAACACGCAGCCCTTGGGCTGGAGCTGAGCTGCTCTGCCCAGCACTGGTGGCCGCCATCCAAGCTGGTTTTGCTTGTCCTGGTTCCCTGACAGCTGGGGCCCTGGGCAGAGCCCTGAGAGCCTGGTCTGCCCCCAGGGAAGGAGAAGAAGCCCCTGGAGAAGCTGTACCGGGTGGGGCTGCTGCTGCTGGAGAGAGTGAGGAGGACACCAAGGATGACAAGCTCTTCCTCAGCCTGGCCAGCTGAAGATGATGGACTTTGATTCTGGCACCTTCTTCAAAGCCAGGCTCCACAGTGAATTTGCAGATGAGTCCACATGCAGGGGGATGCTCTCAGATTTGGGCATTGCCCAGCCTGGCTGGGAACCAAAGGTTCCCCCTTTGCTGGGGCAGATGCAACTCATTCTTCAGTGGCTGCCCAGCTGCTTTTGGCAGGGCTGGGGCATGGGTTGGGGTGGGTATGAAATGGGAGTGGGCTCCTGGCCCTCCCAAAAGCCCCCAGCACCCACCGTGCCCCGGGCTGGGGCTGGGGCTGGGGCAGCCAGGCCAACACAAACAAACCCCTATGGTGGGAGCAGAGGTGGGACTCCAGAACCTGAGCACAGCTGCTTTGCTGTGCAGGCAAGGAAGGGCTTGGGCTGCTTCACTGCCCTTGTTTGCTTTGGGGTCACTGTGATTTTTGGCGGCAGTGCAGGGGGGAAGAGAGAAAGTGTGGGCTTCCCTCACCCATGGCTGGGTTTTTCCCTGGCATGTGGGGGTTGGGCCTTCCTCAAGGCCCTGACACAGATAAGAGTTTTTACCGTTTTTCTTGTTTTCCCTTTTTGCATCTAATATCTTTTCAAGAATGTGTTGTTTATTTTTCCAGAGGAAGCATTCAAGGTGGTCCAGTGTGGATGGGGAAGTGCTTGGGAGCAGCTGTGGTGTGGATGGGCCATGCCCTTGGAGAAGGCTGAGGCCGTGGTTTGGGAGCAGCTTTTCTTGCAGCCGTGGCTGGTGTGAGGTGGGTCCCTGTGTGCTTGGCAGGGTGGGATCAGAGCTTTTGGGAGCTGGCAGTGAGCACAGGAGCATCCTGCTCTGGGCAGCTGCTGAGGGCTGGATGTGCCGTGGCTGGCTGCAGGCTGGGCACATGTGCTGCCCTCCTGCTCTGCTGCCAAAGGCAGCAGGGATGGGCAGCTCTGGGCACAGCTCTGGGCACAGCCAGCATGGCCTGGGCACCGCAGGCCTTGGCACAAGGGCACAGGAGCCCTCAGCTGACGGGTGGTTTCTGCTTTCTCTCCTTGCAGCCGGGCTCTGCGGGTGCTGAGGCTGCTCTGGGCTCTGCCAGGGCTCTGCTGGGCTCAGCCCTGGGCCCAGCTGGGCTGGCTCTGCCCTCACATTGCTCTGACAGCTCTGCATCAGACGAGCCCGTTGCGAGCACAGTGCCTGAGCTTTCTGCTTTGGCGGGTGAGTGAGACTCTGCTGCAGGCCCAGAGATTGCAGCTGGGGACACACATCCAACTGGCAAGGACCCAAACTCTCCACAGTCCCAGCTGAACGCCTGGATCTGCACAGGGTGTTTTGTCTGTCCCATTCTTCCTTCTTGATTGGCTGGAATTGTGCAATTGCACTTTCTTCCTCCTCTAGAAGTGCCACAAGTGGGCCAAAGCTGGCAAGTGGGCCGTGCTCCTGAGGCAGTGCAGTCTGGAGCTGGTGGATGGAGAATTGCCCTTCTGCACTTCCAAACCAGAGCAAAAAGCCGTAAGTGGGACTTTGTGTCTCTAAGAAATCCCTGACAGTTTCAAAGGGAATGTGCAGCTCATTCCCAGGCTGAGAAGGAAGGTCATCTTCTGAAGGATTTGGGGTTTGACAGAGTTTCCATTCCCAGTCCTGCTTGGAGCTGGAAGGGCACAAAGCAATTTCTTCTTGCTTCGAGCACAATTTAAAATACAAATTTCGAATGTTTGGAAACAAAGCCCAAAATCTTTTAAAAGGCTGCTGAGGTCAGTAAAATGGATGCATGCCATCAGCACATTTACAATGTAAATACCTGAGTTCTCTTTTTAAAAAGATCATTTACCTCTTAATGCAAAGAATTTAACTTTGCCTTTATGTTTTGTTTTTTCACTAACACCTGGATTTTATTCCTATCTTTTACAATTTACCTATTTTTTTTCCTTTTTCCTTTTTTTTCCTTTCAATAGAAAACATGTCCTATCAAAGGAATGTCCTTTGCTCCTGGTTCCCGTGTGGAGCAGCTCCCTTCCTGCTGGCTGAGCTGGTCAGGCAGAGCCCGGCTTTTCCCCGTTGCTGGGCACAGACTGATGGAGCAGCACTGCTGAACACGGGCACACAGAGGGAGCAGCAGCAGCTGCCTTTGGCCACCTGAGGCTCCAAGGCCCAAACTCTGAGCAGCCAGGGCTGGAAGAGACTGGCAGGATCTGATCCCTGACTCTGGGCCAGGGCTGCACAAATGACCCCACAGCAGCAGCAGCAGCAGCAGCAGCAGATGGAGCTGACTTTGAGCACAGCCCCTGCCCCTCTTCCCTCCCGTGTGCAGCGGTGTCACAGCAGCCTGAGGCACCTGGGAGCCCCCAGTGCCATCAGGGACTGGAGATGGCAGCCCTGGGCTCCTGGAGGCTGTGCAGGGAACAGAGCTGGGCACTCCCTGTCCATGGGGAGCTTCCAGATGGAAAAGGCTGCTGTGCCCAGGCAGCTCCAAGGGCACAGAAAGGAGGCTCTGGAGCACTGGATCTGTGCCAGTGCCACAGTCCTGGGCAGCAGCCAGCGAGCACTGGGGAAACAGAGGGCACAGCAAGAGGGACAGAACCAGGCAAGGGCAGAGACTGGAGAGAGCCAGGCCTCGGAGCAGGAACAGCTGCTCCATTGCACTCTTGGAGAAAGCTCTTGGCTGGTTCAAAACGCTGAAAGGCGTGAAGGGCAGAGAGGAGGCCACACCAAACAATGCTCCTGTTTGCACAGCCTCCCCTCTCCATGTCCCAGAAGGAATTGCATGGACTGTGTTCTTCTCTCTGATTTGTCTTGTTCAGCATGAGCAGCTCAGCACCAGGAGCTGAAGGAGCTGAAGCCTCAGGCCACAGGAGCTGGGCAAGAGGGAACTTTTGGAGCCAAGTAATGCTGCTAAAATAGCCCCAGCTCAATGCAATGGATAGAATCATGGAATCACAGAATCCTTTTTGTTGGAAAAGCCCTCTGAGCTCACCCAGTGCAGCCGCTCACCGGGCAGTGCCAAGCCCAGCACTAAAACACGTCCCTGTAGTGCCAAGGCCTGGACACCAGACCTGAGTGAGGCCTGGACAGCAGGCCCTGAGCCAAAGGTGGCCTCTGGATGAACCTTCCAAGCAAACGTTATCTTTGTATCTGCTCCCTAATGAAATGTGCATGATCATTAGCACTGAGATAGATGTAGCCACTCATTAGTGAAACATGTATTGACCTTTGTGTATTCAGAAGCCAGACAAGGCCATGAAATCTGACATCTGGCCTTATTTGGGGCTGAAGGATCAAAGTCACCTCCCTTGGTTCCTCCTCGAGCTCTGGCCAGGCTTTGGGAGGGACCCAAGAGGAGGATGAAAGCAGATGTTGCCACACTAGCAGTGCTGTCAGTTTGTTCATTCAGCACTGTCAGAGCTGGGCCCTCTCCCAGCGGGGTTGGAGCCTCACCTGGGGCTGGAGACACCTGCAGGAATTCCCAGTGCCCCGGAGTGGCTCTGCAGCCCTTGGCTGTGACAGCTTGCCCAGCTGCTGTGTGGGTCTGGGGGATGGTAAAGGCTGAGGGTAAATGCTGCTGGATCTTTCTTAATCACTGCAGGCAATCTTTGGTGAGGATGGTTGGGTGCATTGCTGAGCTGCTCCTTTTGTGATTCTTTGCTGCTCTGAACTGCAGGGAATGACACTGATTCCTTCAATTGGAGTCTGTGTCTTTGGTGCTGCCCCTGCCCACTGGTAAAACAAAACTGGCACAGTCAGGCCAGATGACAACAAAATGTTACTTGTTCAATATTAATGTGAGGAATCAGTCCCATCAGAAATTCCCAGCTGGGAAGCCCTTCCCTGGAGTTCTCTGGCTCTGGAGTGGGCTGAGGTCAGAGCCCTGTGGGAGCAGTGGGGCAGTCGGGTAAAAGAGGTTGAACCCCTGGATGTCTTCAAATGCATCCAAAAATTGCACATGAAAAAGAAAAAGACCATGTGGATTTGGGCAGACGAGGGTGAATTTGTTGAGAGTACATAGGAAACAGCACCTTCAGAAGGAACAATCATTGTTGGAATGCTCCCACATGGAGCAACAGAAGAAGGTTTTAATCTTATGCTCAGATGGACTTGAGCAAGTGAAATATCAATATAATAAATAACTATATACAGATTTATAGTATGATAAGACCTTAATATATGTTTATATATTTATATATATGGCTATATCTACATATCTATATCTATATTTCTATATCAATATGTACATATAAAACAATAATAATGTGAAATAGTTCTGACAATGCTAATTTGGTAGCTTTGGCTGCTCAGGGATGTAACACTAAATACCCTACAGAAGAGGACTGGCCATGACCTTAAAGTCAGTGGTCAACTTTGTGAGATTGTATACAATGGAAAAAGGAGGAAGGGAGGAAATTGGTGATTTTTACAGGGTTTGCTGATACTGTGATGCAGAGTGCTTTGTCTGTTGCTGTGAAAAATACTGTGATTTTGCCTGCAGGGTTTTTCATGTACCAGACTATCCACAAGCTGCCGGATTGGTTTCATGGGTGAAGGGGTTGTTAAAAGAGCAGTTGAAAAAATGAGGAGATGGGAACCACGGAGAACCCATCTGCCAGATGTGCTCCATGCCCTTCACAATGGCCCACGGGGGAA